TTATAACCCATGTAGAGGTGTATTGCTGGCTTTTGAGTTTTGTTTTCTTCCTTGCAACAGAACCTGATAGCAAAGAGTTTTACTGTAGTCCTGGCCTCAGCAACCAACTCGTGAATCTGGAAATGTGTAATGACAGTAAGCCACAAAACAACTTTTTCCAACTCTCCACCAATGAAGACGGAACTTTTTATTCTGAAAATTGTGAACATATGAACTGTTATTCCCACCAGCTTTCACTCAGCTCAGACTCCTGCCTCCCCTGACAGGCAACATCATCTGCTACAGACAACGGGACGAGAGCAGGCACGGAGTGATCCTTCCCAGGGCACTCAGCAGCAGCTCACAGACCTCCCAGGCTGCAGAATTATCTCCTTTAAAAGGAATCTCGGATGGATTTCTGCAGCATTTGGAGCAAACACTTGAAGACAGCAGTGTCTGGGGCCGTGGGAGCCACAGAAACCATCACGAACCACCATGGACAGGCTACGGGTTTGCCCTTTGCTCCTTCCACCAGGAGGCTGCTCTGTGATGTCACTGCTCCAGTTCAACCATTCCTAACCCCAGCACTGCTCCAGTTCAACCATTCCTAACCCCACCACTGCTCCAGTTCAACCATTCCTAACCCCACCACTGCTCCAGTTCAACCATTCCTAACCCCACCACTGCTCCAGTTCAACCATTCCTAACCCCAGCACTGCTCCAGTTCAACCATTCCTAACCCCACCACTGCTCCAGTTCAACCATTCCTAACCCCACCACTGCAGGGACCGGCCAGGATCACCTTTCCCATCAGCTGGCCCAGCTGTTAGAGGTGATACACTTACCTAAATCAAGTGTCTGCGCAAACCTGGCAGGATCCTGGTGAGAACCAACGGGGCTCCCAGCAGGATCCTGCCTGGTTTCCTCAGAATTCCCGTGGTGTCCTCAGGAACAGCCCACCCAGAGCTACAGCTCCCAGAGAAGCTGAGCAGCAGGGAATATCCTCATGACTCACCCTGGCAAATCCAGTGGGAAATACATCTAAACCCAATTTTAATGACATTGAGGTCCTCGAAGGTGCAGAATTACAACAGTCAAGGAAAAAACAACAATGTATTCAGAAAAGCTGAAAACTAAAATGAAGAGGTGGGGAAAAAAAAAGAAATTAGACAGTCTCATTTGAAGTGAAACTTTTCCCAGCAAAGATGACCAACAGCCCATCTCTTTTGGATGGCAGCAATGGGCCCCTCCTGATTCCTTTCTTCAGCAAGACCACTAAGGAAAGAGAGGGACTGTCCCTAGGAAATTCAAGGAAATGGGGGAAAAGAACTGAAATAAAGGAAATAATTTGAGGATATTCATAGCAAAGTTCCAGTGATATCCATTTGATTATTGCATAATAGTCTCCATGGGAAGTATTAAAGCCACCAAAAGCATGAGAAACAAATTCATGCCAGAAGAGTAATGAGAATAAACTCTAAATAGCATTCCTGCTCTGCTCCCCAAGGGCAGCTGTCTGTCTCTCACATCTTCCACAGGGAAGGTACTACTCCATTTAAATGCTGGAAAGTCAGCTGACATAATTTCCCTAAAGGGAAAACATCTCTTTGGGCAGCACACAAGTGGACTGGCTTCTCCCTGACTTTCATTGCTAGTTCAGACTCATTAAAACAAAACAAAAAGGCACAGAACAAACATGAGAGTTTCAAGTTACTTTAAGTCTTCCCCACCCTTCATTTCCCTTTGTGTTGTTCACTTCCCACCTGTCCAGTGACCCCCACCAGGTGTCTCAGCCAGCCCAGGGCCCTGAACACTTCTTTTTTGAGATGGTCCAACACTCACCATCTCCCTTCAGGCTGCTGCTTTCAGAGGCTGCATACCCAGTGCCAGCAGATGTGTCCTCACACATCCCAACAAGCACACACAACTATTTCAACAGAGCAGCAGGATACAGCCAAGAGAGCTCCTTCTCAAAAAGCTCACCTACCTTGTATTTTGAAAATATAAAATGTTCAAAAAGAGGGAAATGGTTCAACACTAAGCTGTTCCACGTGGCCCTTTCCCTCATTCCCTCATCACTGACCACTGGCAGGCAGATCCAAGCACTATGAACTGCTCAGCTGGGCCATGAAGAGCAGTAAGAAGCCCTGAATCAAAGAGTTTTCTTGGTCTACAGATCCAATCTAAACAAAAACCAGAATGCTGTCCAACCTTTCCTGGGAGTCAAGGGAAAGCAAGCCAAAACCAGGCTCAGAAATGAGCTGCACCACGCTACAATGAAATATTATCACAGCCCATTCTGTTGGTGCCCCTTGAAAGGACACTTCAGGGCATATTCTGTTGAAATGTTAATAAATGAGTTTAAACTACTGTCCCCTCCAGCAGCACTTAAATCACTCCATACACCTCAAATGCCATACTGCTTTCCCTCTTGTAACAGCTCCTTCATTTGAATCAATAAAGAGAAACCTACAACAAATAAAGGAACCCTACACCTATTTTCAATGGTGTGGGTTTCCCCCATTCCCTGTCCCTTCCCCTTCTGACAGTCACACACGAGCATCTGGAAGAAGAGCCATCCAAGCCACAGTGTCCAAGAGTTATCCTTCCCACACAGCAGCACTGGCCAGTTTGTGGAAAACCCTTCAACCCAAGATTAGAACAAACTGCAGTGTTTGCCTTGAGCTGATACTTTTGCCTGCCAATCATGTATGTATTTTAAGGCAAATCCTGATGCTAAACGAAGCACATGCACTGTAATCTTTCCTGTAACATTCTTTTTACTAAAATATATTTAGAGCCCTTTTATCCCAACCAATACTTGTCTTTTTTTCTTTGTGTGCAACAAAGGGAGTTCCTCCTTGTTCTTAAAGAGATAGAGTTCTACACAATGGACTTTGATACATTTCCGTTCCTACACAGTATTTTTGCAAAGGTATCAAACATTATAATTAAAATAATTATACTTGGCAAAGAAGCAACTGTGGAATGTGCTCCCTCTTCTTTCTTTTCCAGCACTGTTCAGTTTTCTAATGGTTTGCTGCTCTACCAATCCTTACCAGGAAAGGATGGAGCTGCTTTTGAGGACAACTGTGCAGAAACTAAAGGTGTTGAGGTGGTGCACAGGCTTCCACCTTGCAGTAGTTAATTTAATTTTTCACTAACTTCTGACCCTCTGGACTCGTCCACTCCATAGGAACCACGTGCAATAGCTCAGCTCACTTTAATAACAGCACAAAACATGACTCGGTCCCCCTGAAGGCACTGCTCTGCACTTATCATCTTCCTAACAACGTCCTGGGAGCACCAAAGTCTTTGCCCAAAGAGAAGAAAACCTCTGTAACTCCAGCACACCGTGGTTTCCCCTTCATCTTTCTTGACATCACTTAAAAACTTCTGAGGTCTATTCCATGTATCTTTGGAATCTGTTCCAAGCAAGTCAGAGTTTAACAATACAGGATTCGCTTACAATCAGTAACTGCTCATTTTAATGGCAAGTTTTCAGCATGACTTGCCACAGTTATTAGTGTACTACAGAAAGGATCTGCAGTAGGAACTGAAACAAAAATCCCCAGGGCAGATTATTTCAGTGTATTAGGCAGCACCACCCCAGGATTTGTACCACATGGCCAGTTTTTCACAGTTCAAAGACAGGTAGATGTTGCACAGTGATGACAGATCCTTTGGCTCCAGTCCTGAACACACACAATGCAAACACTGCTGTTCCCTGTTGTTTGACTACTGGGTAACACGCTCGATGCTACCACTTGCACACCACAGTTTCTATTCTCCACTGAGGAGATGAGAAGAAAACAAATCACACTTCCAGAACCTGGATTTGACTGGGCATTCATAAAAACTGATCCCATATTCATCACCACGGTCCCCTATAACCTCGTGGCACAGCTGAAGCGAGGATACCTTCAGTGTGTTTTACACCAAACCTGCATGTGCAAGCTCTGCCTTGTGCTAACCAGCTGTGGTTTTAAACGCTGGATTTACACGCATGAAATATTAAAATCTTTCTGCCATCACAGTCCTCAAAGACCTCATCCATTTTAAGTTAAAACTGCAGGAAATTACTTAAACATTTACTTCGAACATACTGCCATTTTCACGAAACACCTATTTTCAAATATCCCGAACAACACATCTGTTGGTTTGAAAAACATGAACGTCAAAGTGACTCTGCAAGCGGATCAGATGAAGGCAAACATCAGCATCAGCACCACGAAAACTGCCGAACCACTCGGGTGTTACCACACCTTTCACCGCTCCCAGACCTGCGGGGGCTCCATCGAACTGACCGGCTCAGGTGTCCCAAAGTACGGGAACGAACACAGCTCACGTCTCATTTCACAATGCAACACGCACGTCTAGTGTTCGGGGATTTTTTAAGGGTTTATTTCCTTTTGCTCGGTGCAGCCCGTCACGGCAGCGGGGATGTGAGTGCCCTGGGAGCTCCCAGCGGATCCAGGGACAAGCCGCGCCCGCCGAGGGGACCGGGGGACCCTCAGCCGGGCAGGGCTCCGGACACCGCGAGCCCCTCCACAGTGACAGAAGGGTCCGTATTTACTGCTGAGAAGTTGCCTCTGCAGTTCCTTACCCTGCACGACCTCGGTGGGTCCGTGAAACCCGCCCGTGACCACGGGCACCCACGGGCGGGGGGCGGCGAGTCCTGCACGCCGGCAGCGCCCGACCTGCCCCGCACCCCGGGGCTGTCCCCGCACCCCGGGGCTGTCCCCGCACCCCGGGGCTGACCCCGCACCCCGGGGCTGACCCCGCACCCCGGGGCTGTCCCCGCACCCCGGGGCTGTCCCCGCACCCCGGGGCTGACCCCGCACCCCGGGGCTGACACCGCACCCCGGGGCTGACCCCGCACCCCGGGGCTGTCCCCGCACCCCGGGGCTGACCCCGCACCCCGGGGCTGCGGCTGGGCCGAATCGACCCGCCCGGGCCGTACTCACCCCCTCGGCCACCTTCCCCCTGCCCAGCGTTCCCGGTCCCAGGGCCGTACTCACCACCTCGGCCACCTTCATCCTGCCCAGGGTGCCCCGCAGGTAGTCCAGGTCGCAGCGCAGGCCGCCCAGCCCGCGGCGCTGGCTGACGGGCTCTGTGGTGGGCTGGTAGGGGCTGCTGGCGGCCGAGATCATGGAGGCGCTGGACGCCTCGCCGTCGAAGCCCTCCAGGTCCTCGCCGTTCCTCATGGTGCCGGGGCCGCCGGGGCCGGGCCCGGCCCAGCGCCGCTCTCAGCTACGGCCGCGGGCGCTGCATGGCCGGGCCGAGCCGGGCCGGGAGGGCCCGGGAGCTGCCGCCGTGCCCCGCAGCCGGGCGGGGCGGAGTCCGGGGCGGCGGGAGCAGCCGAGCGGTGCCCGGGGGTGCCCCGGAGCGGAGCGATGTCCCGGAGTCCTGCCCGCCGCTCCCGCCCCAGTGCTCGGGGGCGCTCCTGGCTGCGCTGGTCCCGCTCCTAATCCCGATCCCGGTCCCGGTCCCGGTCCCGGTCCCGGTCCCGCTGCTAATCCCGATCCCAATCCCGCTCCAGACGCCGGTCCCGACCCACAGCACAGCCCGCTGCGAGCGGCGCCGCCGCGGCCGCTCCTCCCCTTGCGCGGAGCGGAAAGGGCGGGCAGAGCCGGCCCGGAGGGCGCGGGGCCGGGCGGGGCCTGTGGGGTGACCGCCCCGCGGGACCGCACCTGGGCCGGGAACGGGGACAGCACCCTGCGGACCGCACCTGGGCCGGGAACGGGGACTGTACCCCTACGGACCGCACCTGGGCCGGGAACGGGGCACGGAGCGCACCTGGGCTGGGAACGGGGAAGGGACTGAACCTGAACCGGGAACAGGGACAGCACCTTGCGGACAGCACCTGAGCCGGGAACGGCCACAGCGCCTCTCCGGACCGCAGCGGGGCAGGGACCGCACCTGAGCCAGGAACAGCGACAGGACTGGGGCTGGGGACGGTCCCGGTGTCCGCCCGGCCCTCGGGCACTGCCAGGGCTCTACAGGCGCCCATGGTGGTGCCGAGGCTGCGGAAGCCGACGCTGCTGACACACCCGAAATGCACCCGCAGCTCGTCCTGAGCACAGCCCCGGGCTCCGGTGCCTGCCCCGAGCTGCGGTCCCTGCCCCGAGCTCCGGTCCCTGCCCCGAGCTCAGCCTGACCTGCAATCCTTGCCCTGCTCGGCACTACCTCTCTCCTACACTGACCTGCACCCGCAGAACTTCCAACAGCGGAAACCTCCATAACATTCTTCCCGCAGTGTTACCTTTACATATTTCTAAATGTGACGTTTTCCAAGTAAACAGTCTTTACTGGCTCTAAATCACCTTCTGGAGGTACTTTCTCTCTCGCTGTGTCACCACTAATAAGAAGTTGCAACATAACCTGGCGAATCCCGGTGAGTGAAATGCAGCCGTGTGCCACAGACCGAGCTGAGATCCGAGCGCTCAGTGCTGCATCCTGTGATCTGCCAGGTTATCAGCCAGGTCCCTGCTCCTGTCCGTGTCCCTCACAGCCTGCACTGTTTTCTCTTCCCCATGACAGGACTTGAACTCTTCCAGCACCTTCCTCTGGCCCCCCAGAGTTTGTCTTTGGTCCTTCTGCTTTCCATGAACACTTGGATTATCAACCTTGGAACTTTCTTTCCAGTTACCTCTGTGTTACTTCATCTCTCTCTTTCTCAGTTCTCCTGGGAGTTTGTTCACCATTCCCAGTCATGGCTTGGTTAACTGGAGACACAGCTGACTGTGCAGCCAACACAAGTCCTTTCACAGCCTCCCTGGGGCTGGAAGAGGCCAATATTCTCAAGCAGGATGAAGAGAAGACATGCATAAGAAAGGGAAACCATTGCCCTTTGGTGAAGGGTGAGTGGCAGGGAAATAAAAGATAATTAAAATAAAGTATGGAGAAGGAGGGGTGGTCACATGAAACCAGCCTAACAAGATGAAATCGTAAATATAAGGGGGGAGTCCTGCATCGGCACAGGGCTGGCCACGATGGACAAATAGGTTTTACAGTCTCTTATTTCAGTTCTTGTATAACTCTGGGGAAATCAGAAGCCTCACAAAGCTCCTTTTCTTGCAGGAAGTATCATGAAGAGGTGGTTGCCACTTCTGAGAGCATCTCTGGATTATAACTCGTGGGTCCTCAGCTGTTTCAGGAGCACAGGTATATTTACCTATAGAGACAGTTAGCATTTGTTTGGAGGGACTGCTGTGGCTCTTCGAGAAAATTATCCTCACCAAAATAAGGAAAGCATTTTTTAAACAGGCAGCAAATATTATTTTGGTGACTCTTTTGCAGTTCTAACCGCAATGTATCAGTATGTTCAAAGAGAATCAAAAGGTGGTGTTGCAGGAGGCAAATGAAGGACAAAGGGAGAGACGGTTGAGTGATTTAAACAAAAGGCAAGCTGATAAGAGATCATAATTCCGGGGTTTGGCTCAGCCACTGCCTCCTGCACACCCTTCAGCAAACCTGATAGCTTGGGTTTCTCTTCATCTTCTTAGCTTTGTTTTCTTCTTCCTTTCTTATAGATAACCCAAAGTTTAAATGTATTTAAAATCCCCAGGGCAGTTTGAGGGTTCTGGGAAGTGCAGACACACGGAGCCCCCTGTTCCTTAGGGAGCCAATTGCCCAGGTAGGGAAGCTCAGCCAGTGCTCCCTGTGCTCCATCAGGTGATGTTTGAACACCCGTGAGGGCTGGTCCCGAGTGTCCCAGCTCCGAGGGGAGCCCACGGTGCCCCCTTGGTGCCTGGTGGGCACGGTCAGGGACCCTCCAGAGAGGGCACAGCTCCAATCCGAGCCAAACCAGGGGCTTCTGGCGTCCCCCTGCACGGGTGGGTGGGCTGGACACGCTTGGCAAGGCCTCCAGAGGTTCCTGCCAACACTGAACAAAGGAATCCTTCACACACATTGCTGCCTGATGCGGCACCTTCTCAGCCCCGAGGCACTCCCGGGAAAAAAAAACTCTGCCTTTAGTATGTAAATAAAAGTATCGATCCGGTGCAAAGGTCGCTGCCTTCAGCCGAGGCAGGTCCTTGGCTTTCGGATAACTCGGGGTTTGGGAGTTGCTGAGCTCTCCAAGCACAGCCTGGCATTCCATTGTGCCTGCAGAGACAAGGAAAGTGGGCAACCGGGTCAGTGATCACCACTCGGGACACCATCACAGTATCGAGCTAATCAGGGCATGGAATTCACCACAGAGGACTTCACATCCAGCTAAAACAGGGCTAAAGAGTGCAAACAAGGCAGAAACAGCACAGAGGGGAAATCCAAGCAAGCTGTTCGTAAATGAACATGTGCTGTAATTAAATGAGCTGAGATCTGGGTTTTTACTGAATGGTTAGGCCAGCTCTGACAGAAATAAAAGAATCTTCGGCAAAGTGGTCAGAAATTAAAATCAAGTGGTGATTCAGGTGTAAAAAGCAGTGGAAAGAGAATCATAAATATTCTCCCTGATCAAACTGAACAAAGCAGCTCTGAACTCTCAGCTTTCATCTCAGCTATTCCTACAGCCTTTAGTAAA